TCATTCACCACAGAAGCCGGCTTCAGCTTGCACACAAACTCACTGTCACTCTCCTCTCAACTGCTCCGTTATAACCCTGCTGTTGGCGGTCCTCAGGAACCTGGTTCCCGGGAGCCTCAAAATCACCCTGCCTGATAAAAACGCCGGTCCGTGCCCAAACTTTGGCGATGAAAGTTGCCTCGCAGACCGGCCAGAACCAAGGAAAAAAAAAATCCAGCCGGGGGGAAAAAAAATAACCCGGCTGGAGATTTTTTATTCTAAACTTAAAAATGAGTTTGAAGTGCTGAAAAAGAAAAATCATACACACAACGTTAGAACCAGTCAACCCACACACTCACAGTCACCCACAAGCAGACACAGACAGACTGACTCTCACAGACAGACACGCTCTCACACACAGCAGGAGACTCTAACTTACACAGTGACCACAACCCTTATTTGAAACACTGTGCTGAACAAAATGCCCTGATACCTCTTCTGTCTGCTGCTTCTCAACATTGAATGGTGGATTCCCAGAAAATAGCCATCAGAGACCTGCAAGACAACACAAGGTGGTCATTGAGGGATTGCAGGGTAGCTAGGACTCAGCCCCCCTCTGGGCCCACACATTTTCTACACAAAACCTCATACAAAAGAGGAACTTTAATATTTTATAACTGTTCTACCTAACTGTGACTATGTGCCAGGGCAGGGCAGCTCCAAGCCACCACGGGACAAGGCGAGCAAATACAGCACGGTACAAGGCGAGCAAATACAGCACGGTACAAGGCGAGCAAATACAGCACGGTACAAGGCGAGCAAATACAGCACGGTACAAGGCGAGCAAATACAGCACGGTACAAGGCGAGCAAATACAGCACGGTACAAGGCGAGCAAATACAGCACGGTACAAGGCGAGCAAATACAGCACGGTACAAGGCGAGCAAATACAGCACGGTACAAGGCGAGCAAATACAGCACGGTACAAGGCGAGCAAATACAGCACGGTACAAGGCGAGCAAATACAGCACGGTACAAGGCGAGCAAATACAGGTCACGGCTGCTGGGTGACCATGGCAATAGCTGTGGATGCAAAGGTCGGCTCCTCAGACGAAAAAATCCACGATGATGTCGAGAGGCTAATGTGGCCAACGACATGAAACATATGACAACCAGGAGTGGCCTGGAACTGCCCTGGCCGGCAAAGGCTCTGGGGAGCTTGAGAAGAAACCCCCTCCCTTGGCTTCAGAGAGGCCCATGCCACTACAGCTCTGTCCTCTAAGCTAACTTGGAATTGCCTCCAGTGATTATAAAGGCTTTTCCCCTGCTCTCAACCTCCAGCCATGACACTTTTCTTTTGGAAGATGATCAGACAAAACCCATCCTTGACAGGATGTGGATGACGAGATGTCCCCCACGCCAGCTTCAGTGCAGCCGGTTACGAACTTCAGCTCCGCCTTTCTTCACGGAACCTAAGACAACAAAACAGAAAATGTAACTGTTGCCCTGACAAAGAATAATGCCCGGGACACCGTTGCACCGCTGCCCCGACTCACTTCAAATATTCATTGGACTCCAGAGACTTCCCAGAGGATACCTGCAAAATGAAAAGGTACATGCTTAGCATAGTACTGCATACCACTCAGCAATGAATTGCCCCACATAAATGCCAACGCACCTGCTCATCTCTGCTCATCGGCATGCTTGGGGCAGCAGCAACACCTGCAAAGACAGAAAAGAAAAAAAGCACTCTGAGTTACTGTCACAATCCAATATGTGGGATTGATGATGGGGTTCTTTTATTTGATCTTAGAGTACAAAAGGTTATCAGCAAAGCAGGGACTTCAACAGAAGAAAAATCAGTCAGTCCCACCTCTTGTACTCAAAGACCCCTTGTAAAATTCTGAAGACAGAGCACTCAAACGAGCGTGGGGTGCTTTTCACCAAGGCGTGTGCAGTTTGTGAGAAATTCGAGTCACCTCCCTTGCTTTCTAGACACTGCTCACCGGCATGGCAGGCTAGCAGCGGCTGAAGCGAAAAGTTCTTCCTCTGATACTGACTGCATGACAAACCAGCAACCCCTTCTGTCTCTCAGAATCCTGTCCGTGATGCCAATTCGTGTCACGATCCGCAAGGTGGGATTCGTGATGTGGTTCTTTTATTTGATCTTAGATTACCAAAGATTATCAACAAACCAGGGACTTAAACAGCAAAACACACTTAGAGCTTGCACGCACCTGTCCTCTGGCATCCTGGGCTGGGATATCTTGCAAGTACACCACCTAAAATAAAACAACAAGGGATTACAGTTACACCAGAAACTGAGACCCCAGCAATAACAACTGCTTCTGTCTACTGGTCAATGCTCACCTTGCACCTACTTTGCCTTCACTGCTGCTATCCAGCTTTACTTCCTAAAAATAAAGACAAAGAACAGAGCTGTAACACAGTGACCGGTTCCAGCTCCGCTGCAAAGAAAAACCGTGACCGACCTTCTCGGGGTAAACCCCCTCATCTGGGATGGGGCTCTCTGCCACGGGTTTAATCCGTCCGCATCTGAAAGAAAGTTAGGAAAAAAAGTCAAAGTTCTGCAGGGTAACTTCACAGCTCCAGACATCTTGTGTCAAAACAGGAATACCACCTAGATTCCAACTACACCCCGTATTACAGATTTCAAATTACAAGTGCCCAGGACTTGTCCTTAAACGCCTACAACCAGACTGAGCAGCAGGGCAGAGCAGCTCCAGACCAAATACACCCAGACACCTGTGACACACAAGACCAGAGACAAGGGGACACGACAGGGAAAGAAAACTCTGAGAAAAGAAAGTCCTCACGAGGACCAAGAAAAGGCTAAATGAGATGACTGAGATGGGACCAAAGTCGAGCCTGCCAGGCTCATACAGCCCCAGAGGAAAATGATGTTAACAGAACAACTAGTTGCAAGAACTGCAGAAATGAACGCCTGAGAATCCTGCGGTTAGAATCCTCTGCCTGCCTTTGAATCGGTACAAGCCCTTATCCACTGTAATGAATCACTGGTGCACAGAGCCAGCAATACAGCTCAGAACAAGACCTAAAAAGACATCCGACTCACACTTCTAAAGAGAGATGCGATTCTGATGCGTGCTGGGCTCCCAAATTAAAGGTGTGACAGCGTCAGCTCTGGGCCAAGGAAGGGGGAGATGCTAAGAGTGACGACGAGGTTTCCAATAAGCCCCTAGAAGGACTGAGGCAAGAGAAGTATGACGTGGATAACAGGCCCAGAAGGCACAATAGACAAGTGACACAACACATCCCGGGACTGCTCTGCCCTGCCTACCTTGGTATTGTGAGTCAAAGTGAGACTTTCCCTCTATACGGCCTAAGGGGCCATTTCTTGAATCGCCCCATCCCCAAAGCTGACTCAAAGCCCCTAACTGGTGTGAATTGTAACCCACCGCTCTGCTTTGATCCCCTCTGGGATCATGGCCCTTGACTTATCTCTCCGATGCAAATCCATGCAGGAGACCCATCGGGTACTAAGAAAAGCTGCCGTGGGGGCAGCTCCCTTTTGTGATACGATGAATCTCCTGAGAGAATCTGAAGTACCATACTTGACGTGACCTAGAACTTCAGGAAACTGCAATCCTCCTAAAAAAACCCCAAAAGAAAAGTCATTATAAAAGCATCTTATCACCACTGAACCCACAACCCAAAATCATGAACTTAAATACTCCCTGTATTGAATACTATTTTTTTCAAGTTGTCTTCAAAACCTCTGCTGCTTTAGATGCCCAAAAGATACCTGCTGACAGCAGGAAGAAGTAAGCTGAAAAATCCTCTTTGCTGAAATGAGAGATGAGCTCTTTAGCCCAGAAAATTCCCCTGGAGGGAATAATTCCCCTTAGCACAGACTGGGGTTAATATACCCCTAATTGGGCCCGCCTCTTTTTCCCATGATGCCTGGGAAAGGGGAGGCGGCAAATCCCACCAGGTATAAAAGCCCTCAGAGGGAATGTAGCTGCTTGGCTCCTCTGAGTTAAATTTGAGGTTAAGGGTTCCATGTAGAAGAAAACTCTTCAGGGGAAGGATAAGGTTTTCTTTTTTTGCTACGATGACTCAGAATGATGGAGCGAAAAACCAGTGAGAAGCAAATCTTTATGTTTGAGCAGCATAGTGGCATAATTGCCTTATGGTGTTATAATAAATAACAATATACATAATATATATTATATAAGTTATATAATATATAATGTATGTATATATAATATATATGATAACTATAATTGCATAATAATTCCTTAGTGATTACTAAGTAGCACTCCGCCTGTGATTAATAAAGGTGGAGAAGAATAGTAGTGATAAGAATGGTGTCTCATAGAGACCTCTAATCAGGGCTCTCTACATTATAAATGAAAATAAGAAAAATAGCAGACTGCTGGGTGGTGTTAGCATTACGTATGTGCCGGGCTCACTCCCGTTGGAAATACTGGGTGCTGGGGCATGGGTAGAAGTGCTCTGAAATGCAGCTTTAAACCCTTGAAATGCTGAAAAAGGTAGAGCTTCCTTTAAGCAAATCCCTTAAAATGAGGAAACAGGGCAGTTGCCTCCACTTAAATTGATACGATGTCAAATGAATGGCTTCTCTCCTTTAATTTAATCCCCTAAAATACTGGGAAAAGAGGGGTTTTCATCACTTCGTATCTCTCCAGTGATGGAAAAAGGGTTTATTTCCCCCTCTATTCAAACTATTAAAAAAGAGGGACAGCTGGGCTTCCCTCCCAATTTAAACCTTAGGATGATGAAAAGGCAAGGAGTTACCTGTAATTAAAACCCATAAAAAAGCACTGTCAAGGTTTCCCCTTTCTATTTTGTCTAGAAAATAATGGAAAATGGGAATTTCCTCTCAATTAATATCTCTAATAGCTGTGGGAATGATGGAGGGGGAGCTGCGGGCGGTACCCGCAGGGGCGGGGCCCCGGCACAGGCTCGGCACCGCGGGCTGCGGTTCCGCCCCTGCTCACCCCGTGTCCGCCCGAGCGCGTTCGGTGGTGCAGAACACGGCGGTCGCTCTCCTTCGGCCGCCCTGTTCCTGCCGTGCCGGGGATAGCTACTCTGGGAATGAGCTGTCCTGAGCCAGGGATGGGGGAATTCTATTGAGTCTCCCGATGTCCACGATCTACAGCTGTGCTGTCACCAAGTTAACTCGTTCTGATTTCAATCTGCGGCGGCCCCGAGGCGAGGAGGGGCGCCAAACCAATCCCGGTTATCTGTAAAACAGACCCATGACGAGTCTTGGAGTTTGTGCAGGTGAGAGCAGGACTTGAACGCTCGCTGAACTGGCATGAGTGGGAGGCACAGAGTTTTTCCTGCCTGAATTCCTGTAGCTGTTGATCTCTGCTCCTCTGCAGCAGTACCTCCTCCCTACGTGACAGCTGCCTCAGCTTGGACGAGTGTGAGAATATCGAGCTCTTCCTTAGGACTTGAGGCATGGCTGGGAGCAGAGTTCATGTCAAAGCTTGTTTAAACACTTCCAATATAAATCTATTTTAAAGCAGAAGCATTTGAGGAAATAACATACAAAAGTTTATTGCAAGCATATGTATAAGCTGTCTTTATTTAAAGATCTGCATTGATGGGCATTTTGTGGAACCACTCTGAAGGCAGTGTTCAAAAAGCTTCATTAACCTCTTGTCTTCTGCTGTTTGGGCAGTGTCTGACCCCAGTGCTTGGGGGCTGTGTGGAGATCCCTGCCTGGAGTGGGGTCACCCCTTGAGGATGAGCCACAAAGATTCATTTGGTAGACTGGGTGAGTAACTATTTCTACTTAGTAATTGTTTTTGCTGGCTTTAATGCCATGGCTGTGGTGTTCCTGCAGATGTCATGCCCTGCTCCCACAGTTAGGGCTCGTGTGCTGAGCAGGGAACACTTTTGGGGAAGGGCTTTCAGTCTCATTAGTTTCCATTTAAATCAATCAAGCCATAGGTAAGTTCCGGCGGCCAAAAGTTTTACCACTTCACTCTCAATCATCCAGCATTGGCTGGAGGTTTGTGCAAGCTGGTGGCCTCTTCTACCCATCATTATTTCCCAAACAGAACTCAGCTAAGTAAAAGAGACACAGATAGTGCCTACAATTTCATGACATGAAGAAACAGCCTGTTACTGGAGTCCCAGACCTTTGCTTCCTTAGCCTCTGCAGGTCTGGCATGTGGAAAGCCCAGAAGTACTGAAGTATCCCGCTCAAGCAGCTGAATGTTATCAACCTCTCCAAAGCCTGATTTGCCTTTGATATAGACTTAATTGTTTGCGTCATCTACCAGGCTGGGAGAGGGCTATAAAAGGGACTGCAACCATTGTCTGAGGCAGAAGAGATACACCAGCAATAGCTCCTTCTCCCAGTGTTTCTCACTCAGCACTAGTGACAGCCTGTGCATCATGCAGCTGGTGGCCAGCCTGGTGTCTGTGCTGCTTTTGGTGTGGAGCGTGAGAGCCACGGCACTGCCCAGGGAGGAGAGACTGCAGAGCACCAGGGTGAGTACAACATGCCTTGGGTAGGAGCAGGATAGAGCCAAGGAAAGGAGAATAAGGGTAAGTAGGCTGTACCTGATGCAGCTTTTCCACTTGTCCACATTCCAAGGCATTACAGCTTTGCGCGCTGCAAAACCTCAGCTGTTACTACGGCTTGCTGGACAGCTGATTTAAGAAAGGTACCAGGAGAGATGCCAGAGAGCTGGAAAAAGTGAAGTCTGAGCTAAGTGAAAACTGGTAAAAAGGAGATTGGAGGGGAAAGGAGAAAACATTATTGAAGGGGTAGAGCATGAAAGAATAAAGCAAGCTACTAGAGAGGGAGAGAGAAGATACATAATTGGTAAAAATGATCAAGGGAGATGGTATTTTAAATAGGACTCATGGGAAGGACAAATGTTTAAAAGATGGGCTCAGTAGAAAATTAATAGAGGAATAATAAATGAAGTAATTACATATAAATAAATTTGCTTTTTCTGGAGTGAAGAGGAGTTATACTGACATACCTCTGCTAGGATAATTATGCTCTCAACCAGCAGCATAGCTCTATGCAGTGGCAGAACTTATGGCAATATAATTATTGTACCAACTGGCAAAACCCTAATATTATGTCTAGAATGCTATAATAACTTTATTTTGATGTGCTATTTCTCGAAGAGGCCAAAGGGGTAGGAAATCATAGCATAACCTAATCACAAGCCCCATTTTGCTTGCCCTTGCCCTGCAGTCCTCTCACCTGCATATTCCCTGCTACCCCCGATGTTCCTCTGAGCTCTGGTTAGGTGCTGAACATGGCTATATCTGTAAGGCTGCTGTTATTCTAGAGAAATGAGGGATCCCTGTGGTGGTTTCACAGGCACTAACTTCTCCTTTGTGCATATCCATGTTGTTTTTCTCTGTCTTAGTGATGGCTCCAGCTCATCCATTGGCATGTTAGTACTTCAGGAGCGGGCTCACATCCCATTAACAACAAACTGGCTGCAGGACAGAACCATAGGCAGTATGAGGAGCTGACATTCTGTTAGAGATCAGGGCTCCTGCAGCTGCCTGGGATTAACCCTTCTGGGTATAACTGGAAACTTTCATCTCTGCATCCTTACAATACAAATCCAGTACTTAAAATGTAAACACATTTTTCATAAAAAATAAATTCCTGGTGCAAATCCTAGCTGCTGGGGAAAAGAAACAAGTTACAGGGAATAAATTGCTAAATAAGTCTTTGGTAAAAATTAATTCAAGTGTAATGGCTCTTGGTCTTTTACACACTTGCTTACAAAATCTTGATATGATTGAAGAGACTCATTATATCTATTATAGAACATTCTGCAAACCGAAAAACTCAGGGATGCTGATGAACCAATCCCAACAATTTGTCTGTTACACCAGTCACCACTGGTGTAACAGACAAATATTTTAAGTATGAAAAATGTCAGGATTTTACAAAACAAACCACCATAAAATACATTGCAATGCAAAAGGCAGATCTGTTCACTCTGAGTCACTGATGGATGTAGCACAGGGAGTGAAGCAACCGCCCAAAGGTTTGCCCTAACCCGCTGTGCTGAGATCTCTCTGGTGCAAGAGAGGCTTGATCACTTTCAGAACAGCTCTAAGCAGAAAGGATATGAGCAGTGGATTAGTGCTGGGGGAGAGCTGCTGGTTTTCACTGGCAGCCATAGTCAATCGTGCACAAGAAGTATCCCCTAACATGTGCTGTGCCTTCCCCACCCCTGAGTCTGAAGATACAGTTTCTGCTTGGAACAGTTAATTTCCAAACAGCAGTTAAGCTGGGAAAGATGCTTCCAAGAAAGATGAGACCTAGGAGACACATGTAGCTGGGTTCCACAGTTCCAGTCCCCCTCCCAAAGGCTCAAGACATTTCTGTACTTGCAGCACAGGAGTAGGAATCAGGGTGAGCACAAACTGGTTTGCCTATCTTTTCTTCTGCCAGAGATATAGTGTGGATTTTTTTCTGTTCCTCCTGTTTCTTTTGTGTGATAACAGGGGTAATTACTAGAGCTAAGAAAGTGATTTAAAATATCCATAAACCTTCTGTAAGGTAAAATCAAGACAATTTCTCCTGCCTGTATTTATCCATCTTTTGAGTTGTTCACAAGGTGGTCCTTGGCAAATGCTGGTGCTGACAAATCCAGCAGATAGATAAAGCAGCCCTAGAAGTATGTGTGGGGTATTTGTGAAGAGTGGCATGGAAATTTGCTTCCAAGATTCCCATCTGCATGGGAAATAGATGTTTGACAGGAACAGATCTTGTCTCAGCTTGGCCAGTAGCAGCTGTCTCTGCTAATGAGTCACAGAGACCAGGTAATTCCTCAGATTTGTCAGATGAAAAATTAAAACAAACATGGTAGCTTATAGCTTGTACTGCCAGAATTCCCTCAAGCTCCAAACCACAGGCTCTGTTCTCCTGTGTGTTGCTACAGCAAAGGGATGGTGCTCAAAAGCTCTTTTTCTGTCCTACCTTCCCCCAGGGTCAGGCTATGGAATTAGAGGTTCTTGTTCTTGAAGTACAGCTGCCTGTCTCCACTGATGCAACGTTTTGTTTCAGATGTTTGGGATATCCCTCTCCCCATCAACCCAGCCCTCTCCTTGTTGCATTTAATTCTCAGCATTTTACCGTGGGGTACAACCCCCACCATGAGCTTAATTTACTATTGCCCAGAACACTGTGCCTCTTCCCTGACCTTCCCAAGGTGGAGGCTGGGCAGCCAGAGCAGCAGAGGCAGCTTGGCATACACTGAAATTTAATTATTGCTGCAGTGAAGGCCTTCACAGCAATTCAAGCTTATTTATTAGCAGCTCATTTCCAGCTCTAACGTGGCACATGAAGGTCCAACTGGTTGAGCTGGATTGGGATGGGAGACTGCAGTGGCCTCTGCAGCCACGGATCTCTCAGCTCTAGCATGGTTCTGCTGTCTCTTAGCTCTGAGATGTGGCAGGGGAATGAGAAGGGACCCCCTTGGGAGATGTTTGCATGCTTTGAATCTCAACAGCCATGGGGGACGAGCCTGCCATCCCTCACTTTCCCTGCTCTCTGCCCACAGGAACAGAGTACCCTCCGCAAGGATGTCATCCTGAAGATGCTGGCAGGCCTGCTGGATGGCACAGATATGGGGCGTGAGGCAGCCTTCCCGGATATGGAGGAGAAGGGCAAGCTGGAGGAGGAGCAGGCACTGCTGGGGCGGCTTGCCCAGCTCTCACAGCGGGACCGCAAGGCGCCCTGCAAGAACTTCTTCTGGAAAACCTTCACCTCCTGCTAGTGCTGCCCAGCTTGGCCTTGCCAGCCTGCAAACACCTTCCCCACAGCTCATCTTCCTTGTCCACCTAGCTCCCTTTCCGTGCCCTTCACCCCTCAGAATAAAGCATATCGCCTCTCGGGGATGTGTCTGTGCCTCTCTGTGGGGCAGCCGTGCTGGGGGCTGACAGGACACACACATTTTCTGGAGCAGCCAGGAGGAGCTATGACCATTTTGGGAAAGGGCTTTGCAGCTGTGAGAGAGCCATGTGGAGGGGGCACAGCTGTCTCTAAAGCTGCTGCAGCTGCCTTCTCAGCTTTTGAGGGACCACATGGGTGTGCAGTGAGGTGCTGGGCAGCTGGGGCTGTGCCTTGTGGGGAATGTTCTGAGTGTCAGCCCCTGGTCAGGATAAGGTGCCATGCCACAATGGGGAGAGGATGGTTTGATTCTGGACATGGGGGAGAGCAGCTCCCTGTGTTCCTTTCCGTGCTGGCTTAGTGAAGCATCCAGGCAGTGCTGAGCAGATGTGGGGTGCAGGGGCAGCATATGGGGAGAGGCAGACATGCCCAAAGCTTGACCTACTTTTGGTTTGCTAGCAGGTGTTTCCAGAGAAGTTCCTAGGGTGCTTTTGGGCTGCATCCAAAACCAAAATAATTATATAAATTAACTGTAATTCTGGGTTCAACAGCTGCAGCTCTGCTCTGGTTCACTCATGGTTTCTTGGTGTCTTCTTAAATTGCTTTAACAAACCCAAAACCAAACCACCTGGATTTTCTTACCTACCCTATTGGGTGCTGTTTGCCACCTGGAGAGTAGCAGGGCATACAATTTTATTTCTTTGGGATTATTGAGGAGATTTTTGAACCTTATTTTTAGAACTGACAGGAAGTACAGAGCTATGGACAATAGGCATGTTTAAGTTCATAGGTATTTCACTCTGAAGAAGGCTGTTGAGTCCTTGGTCTCTCATACTGGCAAAACAAAAAGGTATGAAATTCAGGTGCTTTAGATGTTTTAATTTTTAGTACTAAGAAGTTGAATTTCAAAGCTGTATTACATTGCTGTGAAAGGCTGCACAAAATAGCAGGCTTCAACTGTAGATCACTGAGCCTGTCTGCAGACCTAAGGAGGACTGAAGGTAGCTATTTGTAATGGCTTAGTTTTGAGCCTTTACAATCCTTTATTCTGCTTTTGGAGGCTGGTGACCAGGAGGTCACTCATCTCAACAGCAGCATTTTGGATTAATCAGCAAGCCAACCTGTTTTGTGGCAGTTGAGGTAATGCTTTCCACTGTCCAGCTCTCTGAATAATGAGTGACACCATGGCTCTGGCATCTCAATGGGCTGCCTGCTGCTTTGCTCTGTGTTGCGGTGCATTTTTTAGTGTATCATTTGCCATAGAAATTTCTGGCCGTGTGTTTCTGGCTTGCAGGAGGAATTAGAGCCCTGTGGCTTGTTTTATTTTTGACTCCATAATGAAAAGTAAGATCATTGCCAGGGGTACTCAGTGGCTCAATATATGGGTAATGGGATATGGAGCTTCCTGGCTGTGTTTCCTGAAGCCCCTAGCTAGGACGCAGGGGGCCTGGTTTTGTGCCTCACATTGCTGCTGGCATTTTCATTTCATTGTTACCTCCGTTTCACTGTGTTTAGAATGGGAGGAAAGCTCTTGCCACCCTTGTTTCTTAAGAAAAATTCTAAAGAGACAAGTGCTGTATAACAGCTAAATATGGCCATTATTATTACTAGCACCTCTGTAGCAGCATGGGACCAACCAGGATGCAAACACCTTAAAAGTGCTGTCATAGGAACTGCCTTATTATCCACCATTGCGTCTTGTCTGTGATCATAATGGTCAAGAAATCATATAGTGAAAACAAGAAACTCCTGAGTACATGGGCATAGCGACTGCCCCAGACAGAGCCTGCCTGTTCAGCAAGTTGTGAGCTGGATTATCTAGTGGCTCCCGCAGGAGAGAGGAATCTGGCTGCTCTCAAGGCTGGAAGTAAATTTGGAAGTTGAGCTGCTCTTTCATCCCCACTGATGGTTCCTGCTAACATAGGATAAATAATAGGCTGAGGCACTGGCTGAGCACCAAGGGGAAATCTGAGTTGCCAGTGCACCTGCCATGGACAGGGGCCAGCACCATGGGGACAGCTTCTTTTATCAGCTCTGAAATCAGTGTTTGAGTTGAATCCGACCGTGCACTTTTCTTGGTAAGTCAATGTGCTGAGCAATGCAAGGCAGGATAAATCAGATCCGGTGTGAGTGGCTTATTTTCTATTTAAATTTTCACAAAAGCATTGTGAGATTTAAAATGGCATATGTCAAGTTAGAAGGGATCGAGAGACTGCTATGTCTTTTTTAGATGCAGTAGCCAATGAACTTCAGGATCTTGTCTCTGCTCAGAATAATGTGTCTGTGTAAGCAAATAACCTTAATTTATCTCTGGATTTTTTTAAACAGACACATTAAAAAGTAAAAAGCGTGCCAGAAGGCAAACTTTCAAAATCATCTAGCACAACGCTTTCCTCACCTAATCCAGTATGTAGTCCAATAGTAGTATTCACTTCATTTTTTTTCTTTTTTCTTTAATGATTTTAACCTCAAGCTACTTTATCACATTGCAGAAAAGTGAAGAAATTATCATGAGGATGAGTTCAGCTGTGAATCCACAGCATATTGGTACCCAGGGGTAACCTGTGGGTGCATATCCTATCCCTTGACACATGTACAGTAGTCCAAAGTAGTTTACGAGAACAGAGTAGGTCTCGTTTATTCTGAGATTAAAATATGTCCATATGTGGACAGATAGGATGGAGGAACTAGGGAGGTATTAATTTGAAAGTTAGTACTCTCCATGGTGATTTGTTTGTATAAGCTTTTGCAGTGAAGATCTTGTTTTAATAGACTCTGTGTTTTCTGCTTCAGACAAAGGAGAGAGCTGCAATCTGACAAGACTTACAAAGATCCTGTCTGTCTGCAGGTTGCCAGCAATGGAGTTAAATTTAGTGGGCACACAACGCTACTGCCTGTCTGGTGGCCCTGTGCCTGTCGTTCTTGAGCAATATGTGGCCCGTGAGGCACCTTTGGCATTAATTACAGCTACAGAAAATTGAGGTTAAACCAGGTAATGCAGGGAAAATGAAGTATAAGGTTGCACAGGCTGTCTTTTTTCTTATGTTGTTATTATATTTGTGTCTGCTCAGAAACACTAAATGTGTGTTTGGAAGGCAGTGAGTCCAATTACTTAAAAAGAAAATATTTCTTTAAGGCTGATGGCATATGACCAATTAGATAAAAACCGGGAAAAGAGTAACTGGGTTTGCACTAAAGGGGAATTTTCTCTCTGCTCTTGAGTGAATTCTGCTGTTGCCCTTGCTCATTGATTTATGTAGTAGCTCACAGAATGTGTTCCTATGGGATGCTTGTTTTTGACAACATTCATCTAAGAAGTGGTTTAGATAACAACAAACTTGACAGCATCCCTGGGACAGAGAAGCACTATTTTGTTTATCTTTCCTGGCAGTTTGGGCTAGATTTGCCTTAAGACTTGGGCTTGGTGGTGGGAGATGCTGATCCGAGAGGCATTGTTGTGTCTTGTTCTAACAATGGTGCTACTCAAGCCTCTGCCCATGGCTCTGCCAACCTGCTTGCCATACGGGGTTTTGTTGAGTGAAAGAATATCATGAGTCAAGTAAGATATTTGTTCACTATTTGTTACTCTTTGTTCAGTGACCCTGTTCTCTGAGCTCTGAAAGCCCCTTTTACCTGTGAAGTTGGCTTTGAAGATTTAACTTCAGTTACTTCTCTGAGCTCTTATGCTGAGAAAACCTTTGGCAGCAGTAGCAGGCTGTAAATGGCTTTTCTATTCTGTGAAAATTCAGTGAGAGGAGCTGTTACCTGGACCATTCAGAATGTTGCAGTAGCTTCAGGTAAGACGTGTACAACACAGGAAATCCTGGGTACAAATGGCTTGGTGAATTGGGAGGATGTCGGACACGGTACGTTTCTCCTGTCTTTGCTGAACACTGATGGAGCTTACAGGGATTTGAGAGAATATGACAAGGTGAATTTTCAGTGACAAGAAGGATTCCAGGGAGCAAGAGGGAGTTGGCAGAAAGCTGTAGTTTTTGTAGACTAGGTCAGAAGGACTGGCAGGGTGCTAGCATGTTGTGCTTTTTGGTGACTCTGCAGTGTGAAGGTCTGTGTGCTGTAAAAGCCTGAAGATGGGGAATCAGAAGGTGCTCTCTACTGCATCAACAAGGATTTAAGAGAAGTAACTCTTCCTCAGGGATTCATAAGGAATTACAGTTGGAGTTACCATGAAGGCAGTAGATGATAAAGTGCAGGTAGGTAAAAGGCTATCCAGAGGTTATCCAGAGACAGAGAGCAAACTGGGACCTGTCAGCATTTGCTGCAAAATAGCTACTGTGGGTAAAGTTGCTTTTTATTTCATAATAACCTCTCAGCCTTTAGAGCAGGGAATATCTAGGAGTCAGAGAGCCTGTGTCACGTAAGCTAGTGGAGAACAGCTCACTGTTACTCAAAACTGTTACTCAGCTGCTGTGAGGAAGCCTTTTGAAGAAATCTGAGAAAACAAGCAGAGGCTATAGGAGCTGTCAGCTTGTATCTCAGAATGCTGTGGAGCAGCCATACTCCACGCAAAGGGACAGCAGTAACGCCTGTGCTGAGCCTGTGTGAGCCTTCTTGTAACAGCTGTGTCTGATCCAAGGGGTCCTCTCTGCTAACTCCAGCACCCTTGGAGCTCATGCAGCTCTTTCTTTTAGACTTGTATCTCATTTTGCAGCCAAGGGAGGGATGTGCCATATGAAAAAATGCCAGCATTTCAGTCCCTTAAGATAGAAGCTTTGGAGAGAGCTGTTTGAATCTAGATTCAAACCTTCCAGCATGTCTACTTCCTACTTGTGAAAATCATGTAGGGATCACAGAAAGTCTCAGAGGAAGCATTTGGAAGGTGAAGGAAATATCAACAGTTCAAATGCATGTCTTCCACCTCCCCAAAGAGTGCCTTAGTCCTGAGTGGCTGGCTGGGCTAGATGATGGTTGTTGTCTAGCAGGACCACAGTGCACAAGGGAATAAGCTGTAACAGAGCATACTCTTTCCCTAGGCTCAGGGAATTCA